TTGTTCTACCTCTGTTTGTGTTAGTTTAGGTAGAGAGTGAGTTTCTAGAAATTTGTCCATTTCCTCTAGGTTTTCAAATTTGTTAGAGTAGAATTTTTCATAGTATTCTGTTATGATGCTTTTAATTTCAGTTGGGTCTGTTGTGATATCACCCATCTCATTTCTTATATGGGTTATCTGCTTCCTCTCCTGTTTTTTTTTTGTCAGTTTGGCCAATGGTTTATCAATTTTGTTGATCTTTTCAAAGAACCAGCTTGTGGTCTTGTTAACCCTTTCAATTGTTTTTCTATTCTCTATTTCATTTAATTCTGCTCTAATTCTTATTATTTCCTTACTTCTGGGGCCCGAGGGCTTCTTTTGCTGCTCTCTTTCTACTTGTTCCAATTGTAAGGTTCGTGTTTTGATTATGGCCCTTTCTTCTTTTTGGATGTGTACATTTATTGCTATCAACTGACCTCTGAACACTGCTTTTGCTGTGTCCCAAAGGTTCTGGTAGAATGTGTTTCCATTCTCATTTGATTCTATGAATTTCTTTATTCCATCCTTAAATTCTAATATAACCCAGTAGTTTTGGAGCAAGGTGTTGTTCAGTTTCCATGTATTTGATATTTTTTCCTTGCTTTTTCTGTTATTGATTTCTACTTTTATGGCTTTCTGGTCAGAAAAGATGCTTTGTAATATTTCGATGCTTTGGATTTTGTTAAGGCTTGCTTTATGGCCTAATATGTGGTCTGTTCTGGAGAATGTTCTGTTTGCATTGGAAAAGAAAGTATACTTGGCTGCTGTTGGGTGGAGTGTTCGGTATATGTCTATGAGATCAAGTTGGTTGATTGTAGCATTTAGATCTTCCTTGTCTTTGTTGAGCTTCTTTCGTGATGTTCTGTCCTTCACTGAAAGTGGGATTTTGAAATCTCCTACTACTATTGTGGAGCTGTCTATCTCTCTTTTCAGTGCTGTTAGAGTTTGTTGTATGTATTTTGGAGCCCTGTCGTTGGGTGCGTAAATATTTATTATAGTTAGCTCCTCCCGGTGTATTGACCCTTTAATCATTATATAGTATCCTTCCTTATCCTTTGTGGTGGATTTTACTTTAAAGTCTGTCTTCTCAGAGATTAATATTGCCACTCCTGCTCCTTTTTGAGTGTTGTTTGCTTGATACATTTTTTTCCATCCTTTGAGTTTGAGTTTGTTTGTGTCTTTGTGTGTGTCTTGTAGGCAGCATATAGATGGATCGTGTTTTTTTATCCAGTCTGCCACTCTTTGTCTCTTTATTGGTGCATTTAGTCCATTTAGATTCAGCATAATTATTGATAGGTATGAGTTTAGTGCTGTCATTTTGATGTCTTTTTTTGTGTGTT